TTTTTTGAGACAGAGTCTCACTGTGTCACCCTTGGTGGAGTTCCCTGGTGTCACAGCTCACACAGCAACTTCAAACTCTTGGGCTAAAGCAATTCTCTTGCCTCAGCCTCCGAAGTCACTAGGACTACAGGTGCCTGCCACAATGCCTGGCTATTTTTTTTTCTTTTTTGGGTTGCAGTTGTCTTTGTTTTAGCTGGCCTGGGCCAGATTCTAACCCACCAGCCTTGGTGTACGTGCCCAGCACCCTACCCACTGAGCTATGGGTGCCGCCTAATGTTCTAATAGTCATGTTGTATGCTTTTAAAATACAGGAGTAAACCTAAATGTCCTGACTTGGTTTTATTTTCTGTCCCCATCTTGCTCCCCCACCCCTTTCTCTTTGTATCCCTTCTACCACATGACTTTGTCTCTATTTATACTCTTTCCACTACTCCTACCCTTTCTTGTACTCAGAATGAAATTTTCCTGTACCTGCCCAAGTGTGTACCTTTGGCTTAAGCTCATGGCTGTTCCTAGGCCACAACTCCACAGAAGAGGAAGAGAGAGTGGGAAATGAATTGTAGCTAGGTTTGGAGAGTTGCCTAAGGCACAAAGGGTTGGGATTTGGGAAATGTGGAAGGGCTATTTCCACCCACCCTGGCTGAACTTGAGTCTGGCTCTAGGTATCAGTTTGTCAAATGATGAATTTCTTACATTTAGAGGCTTTTTCCTGAAGTTCCATCAGGGGTATCCAACCTACGGGCAGCATGTGGATTATCTGAGGACTTTTTTCTTTATCTGTGGTATCAAATATTGTGAAAATTATGCATATGGACCAGCTTTCGTTAGTGTTTGTGTATTTAACACGTGGCCGAAGACAACTCTTCTTCCAATGTATGGCAGAGAAGAAAAAAGGTTGGACCTCTTGCACCCCAGCCTTCTTGCTGTGCTGAGCTAATAGAGGCCCAGCAGCTTTTCCAGAAGGTTGAGGGGAAAATGCCTTTAAGGACAAACATTGTGATTCAGGTATAAAACAGCAGAGGTAGATAGAAAGATAAGGACAAAAGTGCAACTTTAAAAATTGTTACCAATTCAGAGATTTAGCTATTTTGGCAAATATACCAGTGTCCTTTAAGTCTGTCTTATTTTTAGAAAGCTGACTTTTTCTCTAGACACTATGGTTTCTGGGATACTTACTTGCAACAGAAAAAAAAAGTTCCTACACGACATCTCAAGGCATAGCTCTTGGATTTTGGTAGACTAAGGATCCCTGGCCATGTCAGTTCAGGCCCCAGGATGCCCAGCAGTGTTAACGCTTACAGTTACTGCTGGACCCAGGAATGTTTCTTTTTACTATGGCCACTTTTTTCCTTTTTTAGAGATGAAATGCATTAACTTATTAATAGATATTTTATGGATTTACCTACTGTAACTAACATGATTATTCTGTTTCCTAATATAAAAATTCTGTCTGTAGGAAAAACTGTATGGAAAGTCAGCATTTGTCACATGCTCTCCTAAAACAGCCAGCTTTTCATGGTCACCCATCAAGACCAGAAGAGGAACAAGCTAACCCTACACAATCCTCGCAGGGCCAGTATCTTTCTGATAGGACTTCACTGCTGGAAC